TTTTCCATGCAGCTGGTCCCTCGTGGTCTGGACTGGAAATCAGAGTCTTATTTGCAACGTTTCCAGATGTTTGACACAAATTTGTGTTTGACTTCCTGCCTGGCCTCGTCTGATAAGCTGTTCTAGAAGCATGGCGTGTAGAAGTAAACTTGAAGCAGAGCAAAGTGGCGCGACCCTTCTGGGATGTGGCCAGAGGGAAGGCTTCCAGTGACTAGTGGTGGCTAACCGCTACGTGCTACACGTCGCTGCTCTCACGAGTCCGGCGTCGGTCTGAATCACTGGTTTTGTAAACCCAGAAAGGCTTTGTGACCCTCATGAGGAGCTGGAGAACTTGTCACCGTGCTTCATGGAACGGCTCGTTGATGCTCAGCGGCGTTGGAAGCAGCAGCAGACAGGGAGCTAAAGCTCAGCGAGTTGCTGGTTTTACTTCATCTGGAACCAGCAGGCCGGGTTGGGACGTAGCTGAAAGTCGTCACTCTGCTCAGCTGGTTCTGTCCCCGGCTCAGACAGCCCAGGACACTTGGAGCACTGCCTCTACATCCTGACTCACTACTTCCTCCTTCCACTGCACGCTGGAGCCCATATATGGTAATATCTTCCCAAAGCCGTCTGGCTGCTGCGGACCTGTCTTTTATGTCCCGTCTGAGCCGTGGACGCCTTACCGAAGTGAACTCATCTGACTAGAGGCAGCGACTTTGGCTCTCCACACACGTTTACAGCTAATGAGGGAGCAGAGACGTTTATTTCCTGTCTTGAACTTCCACTTGAGCAGAAAGCTCTGACAAACCCATCAGACTGGTCCAGTATGTTCAGACGGCCTGTTGCAACAGTGCTGTGGTGTGGCAGGAGTCCAGCTTTACCCACAATCCTCTCAGACGTGGAGTGCATGAACACGCTGGTTACCAGCCGGGGAACACTGGCTGGTTTGTTTGCACCCAAAAGCACCAGTCTGTGCAGCGAATGTCACAGCTAGGAAATAAATCCACTAATGCTTTTGTTTTTGTTGCTCTAAGCCTGAGAAGGTCAGCTGTTTGAAAACTCGCTCTCTGGCTGCAGTGGAGCCTCGCGCCGCCCAGGTCTGAGGGGTTGGAGAAGCTGTGAGGAATGTAGATGACGCTCAGGGAGGGGTAGGACGTCGGCCCAGCTGCAGAAACGTGGACGTGCTCCTTTGGCCCTTTAACGCGGCGCTCTAATGTGATCCTTCTGCTGAACACCCACAGCTGCTGTCAGTCGGGGGTCGAGTCTCCAGGTTCAGGTCCCAGCAGGGGAACATCTGTGTGCAGCTGTTCTAGTGTCCCAAACCTGTGGTCTGCAGAACCTCGGAGCAACAGGATGATGCAACGATGCGTTTCTTGGTGGTTTGTGTTTTAAAAACCAGTCCTGGTTTAGCTCTGAGGATTTTATCCATTTCTTGTGAAATTTAGCAGATCTCTTCCTCGATAGCTGCTTCATCAAACCACCTCCCATCAACACTCTGGGGATAGAAGCACGTGTGAAGTCCTGTGGTAGGTCTGGGCCTGCGTTTCCTTTCCCCGTGTAGATCTAAAGGCCGTCCCAACCCCTAAGAACTGCTGTCCAAGACCCCCTCAGGGGTTATGAATGAATCTGCTGACTAAACGTCTGCTTGTTGCTGCTGGGTGATTTGCTGAAAGTAAGTTTTGCACTAAAGTTTAAAGATAGATATAATTGAATCACAGGAGCTTTAAAGTCCCAACTAGAAACCCAGAAGGCCTAACGTGGTGAACAACCTCCGAGCAGACAGAATTCTAGCTCCAAGGAGCGTTTCTGTGAGGAAGAATCAGACTTTCCTCAGCGCTCTTCGTACGTTCTTATTACTTTAGTAACTTGTGGCCTTATCTGCAGAAACGTTTGTCTTCGTGACAGCAGGAGGACGCTTTGCTAGAGGACTTTAGTTGCATAACGGTGACTTTCACTTGGAGACAGAACCAAACGCCTGAACGTGTGTCTGGAGGTCCGAGTACCTTCACGCCGAGTAGGAACCACAAACCTTTAATCTCCAGTTTAAGATGAAACTCGTTTCTCTTCTGGGATAGTTTTCATGTGAGGGGATAAAGGTTGTGCTTGAACACGTCCCTTAAGGCAGTGTGGCATAAAAGCTGTTCAGTCTCATGACCACTGAGCTTGGGCCGTGTCTAAAGGTTGTCCAACAACGATGGGCAGGATAGGAATCAAACCCTAACCGGTTCTCCCAGGAGTTCTTGAACTTCTTACATCTCTGGTTTCTCCTGGGTCGATCTTCCACCCGAACGTTTCCGTAAACATGTACTCAGATTTTCAGTCCCGACTTGTTGCCACTCCTGTCACATATTTGTGTTTCGAGCAGGACCGGATGTGCGGCTTAGAGCGGTGTGGTGCAGCCATGTGATCCGAGGGTTCGGGTAGAGGTTTGATGAACCTGTCTGCGGCAGGGTGGAGGTGCTCTCCTTCTCAGGGCGCAGCAGCCACTCTGCTCACCAACAGCTCACAGCTGGAGAAGGGTCTTGCTCCGTTTCCATGGTGATGGGATGTTGGTACTGCCTCCCAGCCCCTCGCCGTCTCTGCTAAAGCTGCAGTCACGGCTGCAGGGACCCCCCCCCCCCCCTCAGTCAAGGTCACCGTGTGGGGGGAGCCTCCCTCCAATGTCTCACCTTCATCATGTGACGAAAGGGGATCCTCCCCAGACTCTAGGCCGCTGTCCAACCCAGATATGTTACTGCCCCACACACACACACACACACGCACACGCGCACACACACACACACACACACACACACACACACACACACACACACACACACACACACACACACACACACACACACACACACACACACACACACACACACACACACACACTCAGCTGGACCTCTTGTTTACATTCTGCTGGTTCTAAATCCAGCACCAGGATCATCTTTCACATGCTGTGCTCTGAGGTGGAACACGGGTTCTTCATCATCATCATCACTTACTGTCTCCAGGCATAAACCAGTCGTGTTGCACGTGTCGACACGATCACCTGTCGGAATCTGACACGCGCTCCTCCTCCCTCACAAAGCAGGAAGACTGAATAACAATGCCGTGGTTTTCCCTGACGGCGTCTTCGTGACCCGCGCTCGAGTTTCCATCATGGAGTCTGACAGCAGTGGGCCTGAGTCAGCGCCAGCCCCCTTCTGAAGAGCAGGATGATCCAGGCCAGAGGGATCCAGCGGAGAACGATCAGGACGCCGTTGGACTGATGTATTATTATTATGTACAACAGCTGTTTATGTTGAGCTGATGTGTCCTTGGGCAAGACGCCACCCGCCTTGCCTGCTGGTGGTGGTCTAACAGAGCAGTGGCGCCTGTGTTCAGCAGGCCTCGCCTCCGCCGGGGCACACTGACAGTCATAGGGATGGGTACCTTTGACATTTGAATCGATTCGGTACTAATTCCCGGTACCTAGGAATCCATACCGGTACTTAACGGTACCAAGTTTAGATACTTTTGAGTGTTTGTTATTTTAATTCTCTTTTATAATTAAATATATATTTTCTCAATATATAACCATATTTGATAAATATCACGATAAATAACATTCAACAGTTTGTATTTTAACATCGTCCTTGTAGTTTTATAAGCTGATAATTAAACTGAAGCAAACATCTTTACTGTGAACTAAATTTACTGTGTATCTTCATTCCTTTTGCCGTCCTTTTTCATTTGATTTGTCCTACTGGGAAGTTAGAATTTCCGAGGAGAAAGCGAACGCACCATTAGATGATAACAATGGTAGCAATGGAAGCTAACATATCAAGCTAACGTTATCTAAAACAGTTTATTTAGCTGCTGGAGCAGATTAAAACGATGATGCCTCACACTTAGATCGTTGTCGCTGGTTTCATCTTCACCCAATCACCCGTCGCATTTAGTAAAGTGAAGCCAAACTTTAGAGCGCGTTCATGTTCTTCTAGTCGGGAATTCGGAGTTCCGAGGAGAAAGTGAACGCACCATTAGTGAAACGGAAGCTAACAAATCAAGCTAACGTTATCTTAAACCTACCGGAGCAGGTTAAGATGAGGATGTCTCACTTAGATCGTTGTCGCTGGTTTCATCATCACCCAGTTAACCATCACATTTAGTGAAGTGGACCCAAGCGTTAGCGTGTGTTCTTTCTAGCATGCTGCTCTGTTTACAACTGGCTCGCAGCGACCCACAACATAACGCTCTAGTGCATACGCAGCTGTCTAGGCAAGTTCTCGTTATGAAGGACGGGTACCGAAACGAGGCACCGTTTCAAATGACGTGAATCGGTGCTCAGTCGGTACTATGGAATTCGGTCGGTACCTTAAGAAATACCGAATTTGGTACCCATCCCTACTGACAGAGGCGGTGAATGATTGTGTTGTGAAGCGCCTTGGGGGGTTGTAGCACCCTAAGAAGGCACTAAACAAATGCAGGCCATTTTGATAGGTCACATGTCTCATCCGTTCATCGTTTAGTTTCATCTGAACTCCGTCACACGGGATTTGTTTCTAATGAAAGTTGTCCATCACATCAGACACGGACTTCATGTATAAATAAACGAGAGACCTCGGGACATTGTTCCTCAAGTCCCTGAGTAATCATTATTTATGCAGATGCTCCCAGTTGTCCCACTTTCTGGGGCTCTGACTCCCGGAAGCCAAGCTGAGCTGGGTTAGTCATTCAGGTAACCAAACAGGAAGTCACATGAGGGTAGACGGAGACATGGCAAAGACACCTGGTGACTCGCTGAGTCCAACAGAAGTTCTGTAGACTTGTGTCTCCAGCTTGTCCCCTTCAGCCTTGTCTGGGCTGAACCTGTTACCTGAACCGTCTCCAACAGGAAGTGTCTGACAACGCCCTCATGGACCGTTCCATGTTGACTAAACGGTGCCCCCATATGTAGAGTGAACTTCATCTAAACCCAATTGTGTGTGACACTAGAGCAGGATGTAGGTGAGTGTGTTCTTTGACCTCTTCTTCTCGTCCTTGTCCTCTAGTGCGAGGATGTCGTCCAGGGAAGATCGTCCAGATGACGGAGGCGGAGGTGCGCGGCCTCTGCATCAAGTCTCGGGAGATCTTCCTGAGTCAGCCCATCCTCCTGGAGCTGGAGGCTCCGCTCAAAATCTGCGGTCAGTTCCAACAAGAACCTGGCTTTCAGGACAGGTGTCCTCAGAGGACATCTAATAAGAGTCTAAAGGTCTCTTTACCTGCCTGTCTCCATTTCAGGTGACATCCACGGACAGTACACAGACCTGCTGAGGCTCTTTGAGTACGGCGGATTCCCTCCAGAGGCCAACTACCTGTTCCTAGGAGACTATGTGGACAGAGGGAAGCAGTCCCTGGAAACCATCTGCCTGCTGCTGGCCTACAAGATCAAATACCCCGAGAACTTCTTCCTGCTGCGGGGCAACCACGAGTGTGCCTCCATCAACCGCATCTACGGCTTCTACGATGAGTGTGAGTCTGAGGTCCTTCAGCCTGGGTTCATGTCCACTAAGGACTCAGGAGCAGAAATGTCCTAACTGTCCGGCCTGCTGTCCTGTTGGTCTCGCAGGTAAACGCAGATTCAACATCAAACTCTGGAAGACGTTCACCGACTGTTTTAACTGCCTGCCCATCGCGGCCATCGTGGACGAGAAGATCTTCTGCTGCCACGGAGGTACTGCGGGTTGTTGGATACGTCGTCTGCGTTGGATTTAGTCACATGACCTGTTGAGGTTTATCAACATCCTGCTGGTCTGGACTCTTGTAGGGCTTTCTCCTGACCTGCAGTCTATGGAGCAGATCAGACGGATCATGAGGCCCACAGACGTACCTGACACAGGTAACAGCCCCACCCCCCACCCACAGCTCCCAGCTTAGCAGTGGAGCTAACCGATGGGCACTGGGAAGTTTCATCTGGTCCTGGTCACACTGGGAGGGACCATCATTGGTGTTTTGACCCTAAAGGTCAGATCAATGAGGGACCAATCACTGAGCTGGTAACAGCCCTCCTCTCCCTAGCAACGAGGCAGGAAAATACCTGATTGGATGAATTTAAATAACAGAAACAGACACAAAGTGACTTTTTGTAGTTTATTTCTTCACAAACGTTACAGAGTCAGGATCTTTACTGTAACGAGAGCGAAGGGTCACCTCTGATGGTTCACCACTGTTACCTTCATCTGCTGGTCAGTGAGTCCTGATTCACCATGGTGTTAAAGGTCACGTTAAGCAAACTCACTGCACACACACACACGCACGCACGCACGCACGCACACACAGTTTTACCAGTTTAGAACATCTGTGGGGGTCCCTGATTGGTTGCTTCCTGTGTAAACACATTTGAATACATAAAGAGGTTTACTGAGCTGTAGTTGGCCTACAGGAAGAAGTTTAGAAGTTTAGATGTGATGCTGAAAACGGTCTGATTCCAGCAGCTACACGTTCTTCAGACCATCCACATCTGGGCTCTCCCTTCCTCCCAGGGTGTGAGGAAGAGTCCACCTGCGGTCTGAGTTCCTGTTGAACTCAGGGAAGTGAAGCCTCTCTGTGGTTAAAGCACTCTTGTCCATATAAGGCCGTGGGTGTCCAGACCCTCCAGCCGCGGCCTCCCAGATCCTCTTCTGGTCTTTTATGGCGACTCTAGATGTGAAGAATGTGCCTCGCTGGAGTCGGAGTGCTGATGTCGGATTATTTCATCTTTTTGTTTCTGATCCAACCTCCTGTTCTCCTTCAGGTCTCCTGTGTGACCTGCTGTGGTCCGACCCAGATAAGGACGTGCAGGGCTGGGGGGAGAATGACCGTGGCGTCTCCTTCACCTTTGGAGCTGATGTGGTCAGCAAGTTCCTCAACCGTCACGATCTGGATCTAATCTGTCGAGCCCACCAGGTACAACCTCTAACCCTAACCCGAGCCAGAAAGGCTCCTCTGTTCCTCATGAAGGTGGCTCTGGTAGAACGCTGTGTTTGACGCCCCCAGGTGGTGGAAGATGGTTATGAGTTCTTCGCCAAGCGGCAGCTGGTGACTCTGTTCTCGGCTCCAAACTACTGTGGGGAGTTTGACAACGCAGGCGGCATGATGAGCGTGGACGAAACTCTGATGTGCTCCTTCCAGGTACCGTGAAGCCAACGGAGCCAGGGCCTGCTGCATCGTGTTTGGTGATGTCACAGCAGACATGTTTGTTTTGTTGTCAGATCCTGAAGCCGTCTGAGAAGAAGGCCAAGTACCAGTACGGAGGGATGAACGCTGGCCGGCCCGTCACCCCTCCCCGCACAGCCCAACCTCCAAAGAAACGATGAAGACCGCCGCGGCCCGAACACGATGAAACGATTGTCTCCTTTTCGCCCCGATGAGTAAAGTAAAGCCTGCAGGGGATGAAACACATGAACCGTTTTAACCCCCCCCCCCCCCCCCCCCCCCCTTTCACCCAATGTATGGAACGGCTGTCCGACCCCCCAGCACCTACGTAACCGTGTTTAAATCAGTCATTCTGTAGCACCTTTTTTTCTTTTTGACTGAATGACTGCTAGTACCCCCCCCCCCCCCCCCCCCACACACACACACCTGTCCATCAGGTATTAATGACTGCTGGGTTTTCAATAAATAACACAGGGAATAAACTCGCCTCTGTCTGCTGATTCCTCCCATTACTGAAGATTACAGCAGGACGGTCACTTCCTTAGTCACAACTCTGCCGCGCGATTGGCTGATCAGATATTTGTAACTGTGTGTGTGTGTGTGTGTGTGTGTGTGTGTGTGTGTGTGTGTGTGTGTGTGTGTGTGTGTGTGTGTGTGTGTGTGTGTGTGTGTGTGTGTGTGTGTGTGTGTGTGTGTGTGTGTGTGTGTGTGTGTGTGTGTGTGTGTGTGTGTGTGTGTGTGTGTGTGTGTGTGTGTGTGTGTGTGTGTGAGTGAGAGAGAGAGAAAATCACAGAACTGTTGGAATAGATTTATTAGGTCAAACACCGAACGTGCTCCCTTTACGCGTAGCTCACAGCAGATCCAGACTAGCAGAATAACATGTTGCCATGGAAACGCCTGCTTCCACTGCTCAGTTTGTGTGTACTCTTGATTAAGGCTGTTTACAACAACAAGCTGCCCAAGCATGGTTTTATTTACAGGTGAACAGGTTCATGGTGCAGCTCAACCTGAGCTCACCAGCAAAGAAAGGAAAGAAACAGACCATAATAAGTAGCTTTACTCTTCATGACGCTCCTGCACCAGTAGGTGGCAGTAGCTGCTTTAAGGCAAATGTGTGGAAATAAAACGGACCAAAGGCAGAAATGGAGAATGATGCATTCTGGGTAAAACACTCAGAAACCGCCTCTAAACTAAGACGTACAACGGGTGGAGATCAGTTTGGATACGAGAACCTTAAACTTGTCTAAAGGTTCTGGTCCATCCGTGCTCCTCCGCTAACTTGTCTAAAGGTTCTGGTCCATCCGTGCTCCTCCGCTCGTCTGACATGTTTTTGTGCCTTTCATGTAACCGCTTTAATATTAAACACATCAAACCCTCGTTCTCGCCCCATAAGAGAAAAGTGAACCTTCCATACTAGGACACAAAACTAAACAGTAACTAAGATATAAAAATAAAATAACTCATTTTCAGCGTCTCCCTTGTTTCCACTCCTAAAGTGAAATGTTCCTTTTATACTGGGACCATTTCACGGCTCCAGTCCCGTGCTCACAGGGGCTTCAGTAAAACAAAAATACATCATCATCAGAGGGCTGCTTGGTGCCGACCCATGGCCGGGTCAGATGGCAGCCCGGAGTAGGAAGGACAGCGCGGCTCCCAGGGACAGACCCAGAGACAGGAAGAAGGTCATCAGGGCCCCGGCCGTCTCCGCGTCTTTAGGCTCCACCAGCCTGGAGACAAACCAGGTCGGTTCAGTCAAACACGACGCTAGCAGAGCATCTTCTACTGACTTGACCTTCGTGGTCACCAGTTTGATCAACCTTCAGGAACGTCATCATTAACCTGAACCTGTTAGGTTCTGTTTAGGCCCGGAGAGAGAACATGGATCAGCTTCAAATCCAACGGACCGGTTTTTTTACACATTGAGGTTCCTACATGGTTTCAGCTACTAGAAATCTTGTTTAGACCCTGATGAGGTGGACACCGGCTCAGTTTTACCTGTCAGTTTAAAAGTAAACAACCAATAAACTACCCCAACAGAACCAGTTGGATCCACCCACAACAGATTCTGCAGCCGCTCGCGTGTACTCACTGAGGCGCGTAGGACATGGACAGGCACACGAAGTAACCGCTGCTTATAGAGAAGGCGGCCATGATGGTGGCAAATGCAGCATCGTGTTCGAAGAAGACGGGAAGGTAGACCCGACTCCGGACGTTACAGAACATCAGCAGGGGGACGAACACCAGCCTGACTAACACCAGCACCGGGAACAGAGTCGACTCCTTACGAGGCTGTGGAGAGACCGGGAGGGACAGGTTACATGGAGACGACGTCCATGAGGACAAGAAAACAACATAATGAAATACGGTGGCCCAGAAGGGTCAGCAAATTACAAAAGTCACAACGGGAGTTGTGCTAAAACAGAAACTGGTAGTTGACGGGATCTTAGATTAAGAGGAAGAAGAAGAACCACAACAAAGAAACATGGCCGCGGGAGTCTGAGTGGAACTACTGGTATTGTTCGGTTAAAGAAGTGTTGAGATGTTGTATAAAAGATAAACTCTTATGGTGTTGGGATGAAAGTGATTTCACCGGGATAATAACGCGATTTAAAAACTTTAATGCTCGTAAAATAGCAACATCCAAACCAAGCAGACTCTGTAAGACTGTATTTAAAGCGTAACGAAACCCCAAAGTAGTAAAGTAACGAAACCCCAAAGCATTTGTAAAGACCCAAAGTATTGGGTCTTTACAAATGCAATCTTTCTGTTTCTGTGCAGTTTTGACATGTTTGTGTAAACTTGACTAAATCCAGTAGAACTACAGAAGCATTCTTGCAGATATGTGGAGATGTGAGTAATCCAACTGCTATGATGCAGCAGACACCATAGCTGCAGATGAAACTAACAAAATTCCTCTTTTTGTTGCTGCAGTTAAATTTGTAACCGAACTTTCTTCACAAAATTTGGTCAAACTGAATTTTACGTCAAACATAAATGGGCCCGGTTCTGTGCCTCCGTTGCTGAGGCGGCCGCCCGGAGCGTGGCTGCAGGGTGGTCGGTGCGTGTCGAGGCAGCAACCCCGAACTCGCTGGTGCACACCGGCGGTTAGGGATGTTGTCAAGCAGAGTGTGCTGCTGACCTCTACTTGAGACGTGGATCAGCGGGCAGAATACTTCAGTCCCACCGACACGTCTTCCAGTGAGGAATCAGAGTCTGGGGACATTGGGTTGGCCTCTCAAATCTCTGGTGCTGAGGTCACTGAGGTGGTTAAAGCAGCTCTGGGATGGAAACCTTTCCACCCGGTTTTACCCAGCGGTCAGCCCGGCGTGTCTCTGACTCAGAAGCTCTGGTGTTGTGCACAGTTAACTCCGGTTGTAGCTAGGTTGCTACCTCCGTTAGCTTAGCTCCCACCTCCACGTTAGCTTCAGGTTAGCTTGTAGCTAGTTCGACCGGGTGTCGTCAGTCGATCCCAGCCTTACAGCCCCACCCTCAGCTCCTCCTCTCTTCCCTTTTATGGAATTGTCTGGGCTTGACGGAACCTGTGACACGGTCAAAATGGCGGTGGTGGCCACCTCCCATTTAGCCTCAAAAACGTGTTATTGGAGCCTATGGAAACCCATTGTCCATATATGTATATGTCGATGGTAGGAACCAAAAGAACGAGATCTCGGATACAAGCGGCCGAAATGAGTTTTCTCCGAAGAGTGGCTGGGCTCTCCCTTAGAGATAGGGTGAGAAGCTCGGTCATCCGGGAGGGGCTTGGAGTAGATCCGCTGCTCCTCCACGTCGAGAGGAGCCAGTTGAGGTGGCTCGGGCATCTGGTCAGGATGCCTCCTGGACGCCTCCCTGGTGAGGTTTTCCGGGCACGTCCAACAGGGAGGAGACCTAAAGGTAGACCCAGGACACGCTGGAGGGACTATGTCTCTCACCTGGCCAGGGAACGCCTTGGGATTCCCCCGGAGGAGCTGGCCCAAGTGGCTGGGGAGAGGGAAGTCTGGGCCTCTCGCCTTAGGCTACTGCCCCCGTGACCTGACACCGGATAAGCGGCTGAAAATGGATGGATGGCCTGCTTCCCAATTTTATTCCTGTAAGGGATCATCCTTGTTCTTTTAAATCATCCTTTTTGTTCTGCGCCAGCTTTAACTGCAGCTTCCTCTGGAAACACGAGTCACACACCTTAAATGCTGCTGAGGGGGTGTGCTTGACATTTTAACCAAAGCTGAAAAACCCTTTAAGAACACATTAGCCAGTGATAACATCCCATAATACCGAACAAGTGACCGTGTGATGAATACTGGCTAGTGATGCTCACTCACCCAGCGCACGACGGTGGTGATAGTCCGGCCCGCCCAGTCGCCGATGTTGAACATCAGGAAACAGCAGACGGAGATGAAATAACGCTCTGTGGACGGGACGGAGATCAGTCAGTCAGTCAGTCAGTCAGTCTGCTAAACCACACATGTTCCTACCCCATTTTCCAGGGAATATCGTTTTGACATCCACAGTGACGGCGGGAAACACGGACAGCGTGACGGTGAAGATGAACGTTACACAGAACGCCATCACCCAAATCTGGAATCAGCAGGAGAAACAGCCTGTAAGACGTCTTTAACATAAACACAACCTTAATAGACCAGCTGGTCTCTCCTCCCAGGTCTGTTTGGATCACATTAATAATGAAGTCTCAAAACAAGGTGGTTCTGGATCCGACCGGCTCTAACCGGAATAAGCACTCCATTACTCAGAAGACCTCTGGATCTATGAGACTAGCTGTCCTCCTCAGAGATCTGGTGGACAGGCTAGTCCACGGGATCAGTCTGAACTTTTCCATGAAGACAGGAACCACACCCACCCTACCACCGCCGCTTTAACCCAGCACTGTGTGTGTGTGTGTGTGTGTGTGTGTGTGTGTGTGTGGCCTAGTAATGAAGGAGCAAAGGGCTTTAAACCTCTGATGTTTTCCCAGATTCACCTTCTTAAAGACCTCTAGGACCGAGGCCTTGGCCTGACTCTTCTCCACTTGCTTGGGTTCATCTAAGCTCAGCTCCAGCTGCTCCTCCACCTCACTGCTGCCCCGTGACGCAGCTTTCATCGCCGTTCCGTTAGCATGACCGTTCAGCTTACCGTTCACCACAACGCCGCCTGGAATTCAACAAACACCAACCATCATTTTCCACATTAGGAGTTCTACTCCGAGGAAAAACTATCAGAATTATGAGAGGAGAGACCGCAGGGCCTCTGGGAGGGAGTGTGTGTGTGTGTGTGTGTGCCAACAGAAGCCATCTTTGTTAGTGTGTAAGTGGATAAATGGAAGGTCAACAGACTTAATGGGATGATGTTCCACTGAACTGATCGGACTCCGCCACACAGAGAAGAGCAGCCCGTCAGATACACGCTGATCAGGTGACAAACACAAGGGGGGGGGGCTTTGATCTCTGAGGACTCACCGTTCAGCAGCTTATCAGTGGTTCCTTCCTCGTAGTTGCTCCTTCGGTTCAGATGATGATCAGCAAACTCCTGCAAGCAAAGCCCAGAGGGAAGTTTCACCACAGCCAGAGTTCAAGGCTGATCATGGTCATGCTGAAGCTGGTGTCTGGGTCCTGCAGGACAGAGGGGCTAACAGCTAGTCTGAGACTACAGATGCCTGACAAATCCATTTGTAAATCTGTAAGCTGAGGCTAAGGGAACTGTGGGTAGTGTGGTCCAGCTCACTGACCAGACGAGGCAGCAGCAGGTAGCTGAAGAGAGTGATGAGAGTGCCCACACACGGTGTGATGAAGTAACCTAAAGCTGCAGACTCAGGGTCCACGTCACCTGTAACACACACACACACACACACACACACACACACACACACACACACACACACACACACACCTCATTTGGGGACAGATTTAGTCTTTTTATGACTCTTCTGAGTCTCCACACTGGTTTAAGAAGTTCTATATTTACTCCATGTCCTCTGTTGCTAGGCAACAGAGCTTAGGACACCCTGCTGTGTTTTGTGTGCACGTGGGAGGCTCACTGGCTATGGAGATCAGCATGGCGATGGCAGCAAACGTCCCAGCGAGGCCCTGGCCACTCATGAAGATGGAGCTGTACTTCTGAGGCAGCAGACCCACCAGACCAAACAGACTACCCTGCAGCACGGCCACGAAGCCTTGAGGGAGGAGGAGTTAGTGCCCAGAAACAGGGTTTTGGATCCTAGATGTCTGTAAAGTCGCACAGACTTACAGTTGATGAACCAGATGGTCGCCATGGTGACGGAGAAGAACAAGTCCGTGTCCTTCAGGTCTACTTTAACCAGCACCGCTGTGAGGATGAAGAACAGCAGGATGGCGACGAGGCTGCCTGTGATTCGTACCGCCCCGGAAATCCTGAAAAACAAGTTTCTGATTCCAACAGAGTCTGACACGAGTCCCAGGATCATCATCCTCTTCCTCACTCACCTCTGGTACAGGAAGGAGTTGAGCAGGGTGAAGAGCAGCAGAGGCAGCTGGGACAGTAAGGTCATCCAGTTGTTGAAGTAGTACTCTTTATGTACCGCGGTGCCGTTCATGAACTCGGTGTTGTTCAGGCGGTCCTGGAAATACTGCAGAACCCAGAGGGACAACAGACCGGTCAGTCTCTGTCTTCATGTGAATGAACAAGTGAACGCTGTCCCATCCTGAGATGCTGAACCCCTAATGAACGTGGATATTCCGACGGTAGTCCCAGAAACCCGCCATGTTCACCGTTTGCTCCTGTTGTCTGATTCAGTTCACACCAAGCTTTAGCAGCACCGGAGCCCAGCGTTGACCCACCCTGATGCTTCAGTCTGATGCCTCGTCTCCCCGCACCAACAGGCCGTTTCCTGGTGGAATGCTCTGCACCCTTACGGAGCTAGCTCAGCAAGTCCAGTCGAAACACATTATCTGTATTTGTGAGGTCTTTCCACCGCCGTAGCCACGTTTACCATCAGACGTGTGGAAATCTGTACGCAGGCTGATTCACAGCTCTGCATCAGAAATAAGGAGTGTTTATAAAACACGCAGCAGCCGTTCTGGAAGCTCAGGAACTAAAGCTCCCGTCGGGCTCCTGACACGAAGAGAGGTGGTGTGTAAAAAATTCCAACCTCAGCATGTCAACTCGTGCTTTTAATCCTCACGGTTTTATATCTGCTAGCCTTTCAGATGAAGTCATTTCACTTCCTGTGGTTAAAATGTGCATTTACCAGTGATGCCGTCATGAAGAAATTCCATGGCAGCAGCGTTCCCAGACCCAGGATGAAGAAAATGATTCCCACCAAGTAGCCGCTGTAGGGATGGAAACGTTCAAGTTTTAGGCCCGAAACATTTTATGCACCATTTGTTCTTCATCAGCAGCAAAAACCTCTTTAGACAAAAGCAAAGCCACAGATCTGGTGCTTTTGTGGTCGAGAGCAAACAGCAGGAAGTGAAAGTGTGAAGTTTGGCTGAACTCACCGATCCTGAGGGGTGTCGGTTTGCCCCATCCTGGTTCTGGTTCAGTAGGAGCAGCAGTGAGCCTAAACAAGACAGAGACATCAGCTGTTGTTCTCCAACGAGCTGCTAATTCAGTCGCATTCTGGTGGAAGGCCGTGAAATGAGACTACCTACAGAGAAGTTCTGGAGAACAAGAACGTGTGTTTGGCTGCAAAGCTGCTCAAGAGCCTGGGGTTCGCTCTGTAGGACGACAGGAAATACCATGTGTGTGTGTGTGTGTGTGTGTGTGTGAGTCCAGATAAATGACCTTAATGAGCGAAGTCAGTGATTTTCTATTTATGATCCATCGGTGGACCCGGCAGCCTGAGGGTGGGAAAAAGGGACTAAGGATTGAAAGCCTCGCTGTGGGAACGCCACATCCCCCCAGGCTGGAGAACCGTTTAACCGCCTAAACATGCAGCTAATCTGTGCTTGCTAAGCAGGGGGCCGCGTCCAGAACTATTCAGGGATTTTCCACCGACTCATCTGTTTTAATTGCCGTTTTAGTGCTTGGCCTTCCTCTGTCTGCAGACCAAAGCCTGCGAGTCGCCTGCGTTACTCTCATGGCAGGTTAAACACGCGTGTGCAGGTTAAACACGCGTGTGCAGGTAATGGATGGGTATGATGAGTGTTTTCATGTAGGTCTCAGCAAAACTTCTCCTGAACCACAACATGGACTCAATTAAAACATTCACAAAATCATCGTTGGATGAACTTCAATATAACAAAGCATTTCAAGATGGCCGCCACAGCCAGCTAACATTATGGCTAAAACTCAGTTTTACGGATCTTGAGCTAACATTTGATGTGGCCTTTATCCCAGAGATATTCACAAGGTCCACAGAGAGATACTCATACTGCTGAACCAGGAAACTGCAGCCAGGCTCAGATCTATTCAATTCCCCCAACCTACCGACCAAATTCTAAATACATTTTATTAGCAATAAATAAATAAATCAGAAGATGCAGCTTTTTCAGACTTCAAAAATGAGCAAAGTAAACAAGTTTATGTTCATGTTTAAAGAAAAACCAACATCTTTACTTTGGAAGGCTTCACAGTGTAACAGAATGAAATGACTGTTTCCCCTCTCCTCTGACGCAGGACTAGTCTGCATGAGATACGGCCTCAAGGTCAATTTGCTTCTAAACTGCTTCTTTTCAGCTCAACAGAAGAATGAAGAATGGACTCTCTCCTTTTAATTAATCAAAGAACTCTATTTTAATAAAGCTAATCAAACAAAGTGTTAGTCAATATTAAGATGTGACCAATCTGTGAAATTAAAATATTAATTACTTTATTATAATCTTATAGAATATGATGAGTAATGTGACTTTAAATGTTCCAACAGGACTGATTTCCCGTAGCGCTAAAAGACACGACACATTACTTTCACTGATCCAATCAGAATCTGACAGAGGCGTGGTGTTTGGTAAGTCTGTCAACTTTTCATTCGACCATAAACCAAAACATCCGAAGTATAAAACTATGCCACGTCATCTCTAACGCCAGTTCAAAGCGTTCCAGAGAGAGCTTCGGAGTGACCAATCCGTAACTCTCCTCTTTAACCAAAAGAACCAACGACAAGCTGGATAAAATCTGTTGCTGTTCAAACTGCTGCAACGGTTCCTTTCAGAATAAAAGCTGAACCATCAAGACCCAGGATCGGGTCTCACCAGACACCAACAAACTGTCGTGACCCGGAAGTATCTCAAGACGGGTGGTCGGCTGCCCTGGCTGCTTCTACGGGCTCCGGCTCCATAAAGGTCAAGCTGGACCTCTACACCTCCTGATCTAGACGGGGACTTCCACCAGGGCATGTAGACCGGCAAATGGCGTTGAATGTGTTTATGAATCTCCTAATCAAAGCTTAACGCGAAGACATCACCTTCAGTTCCCATCAGAACTAATCGCTTCTTCGGATTTGCTGGTTCTGAGCAACATTCCACCTCACACCATTCACCGTCTCATCCACTTTAGTGACACCATACATTTAGTGTTTAAAGTCAGTCTAGTTTAATTTGTTTTTAATACATTTTTAAACTTTTAAACTTGACTCTCTCTCTCTTCTGTTGTCTCTGAGTGAATACGGAGCTGTTATCTAATCCCTGCAATAAAAAGTTCCAATCTTTTGGTTTAAAATAACCTCACAGATTCATAAGGTTGATTTCATATTCACTATGGAATCCTACGGCTTATTAAATAACATGTAATTTAAATCATTACAACAGAACAGCCCTGAGAGAAATGACGTGGGCTTTCTATTGGCTGTTGGGAGACTTTATCCTCCTCTGGCTACAAAAACCTAAAAGCCTGAACAGGAAGTAGCGTTTTTTTCTTCTTCCAGAAGCGTTCCACAATCCCATTCAACTTGAAAAATGGCACTAAATCGGTTTGCATGGTTGGATGTTCAACGTGCAGCAAGATAAATGGGAGTGATCAAAGCATTTTCTGAGCAGCGACTTATTGAAAACACTGAAACAGACTGGATGTCTCACCACATGGTGTGGACACTGTTAGCGGTGTTTTACTGTCCTCTCTACGCCCACCATGTCCTGAACACGGTGAAATAAGCTTTGGATCATCTGTGTGAAGCTTTACTCTCATAAACACACACTCTGTTGCTGCGTGCAGCTTCACTTTGTCTCACTGGACGAGTGAACGTCTTCATCGGAGGTGAATATCACTCTTCCCAATCAGAACCGGCCATTACCAGACAAAGATGTAAACAATGAACGGACCTGTCAGCACTGGAACGTCCTCCTCTCTAATCTATAATAATAACGGTTGCCTCTATAAACGGTGTTTCGAAGACTCAAGTGAGCCATCATCAAGGACTCAAGTCACCCCAGCCATAAACTGTTCAGACTACTTCCATCAGGAAGGAGGTTCTGCAGCATCCGGTCCAGAACCAGCACACTGAGAGACAGCTTTTTCCATCAGGCCATCAGACTGCTGAACACGGAGCAGACACCTCACCCTCACTACTGAAACTCCAACATTACACGCTCCATACTCCAACATTACACGCTCCATACTGTACATTAATGCCACTGCTCTGCACATACCAACCTCTCTTATCTTATTGTTTACTTTATTCATTTGTTAAACATGTATATACACACTATACACACACTCACACGCACACACGTAGAAAAAAAATACAATACTAGCACACACATTTAGTAATGTATATACCTTACATACTATATATATATTATTACTTAGATTAGCCATTTTTATATTTTGCTTGTTTTTACATTACTGTATTTTTGCACATCTCTGTTGCTGTGAAGCTCGCACACAAGAATTTCACTCGCATGTACTGTACCAGTGTACCTGCACATGTGACGTGACAATAAAAGTGATTTGATTTGATTTAAACCATCTTCTGGTGTAAAGTATTGCAGCTGTGGCCGTTAACCACAATGCTGCGACTTTGGCGCTTACAGAGTTAATTTCACAGTCCTAATGGTACGGTTGTAATTATTGACGTGTTTCGGTTGGTGCACCCCTACTTTAAAGTTTAGCTGCTAAAGTCATGTGCCACATACCAATAACTGTTCATGTTCTCCAAACTAAAACTACAATCAAAGCCGTTTAGATGCAAAACAAAGCCATTCAAGTATAAATGAAGATACAATAATACTTGATTTTAGAAGAGCATCTGGCCCTCACGGTGGCCCTTGAGCACATCTCGTTGAGGACCCCTGGCATATGGGGCCACGAGTGAAAATCCTAGCCTTCATTTTGACGAGCGTCACGCTCCAACCAGTGTGTTTTACCCTAGTTTTGTTATTCATGTTTGTGTCAACTTCACTCCCACCACTCTTCCAATGAGCGCCCTTCCTTTGTGACAGATCTCTAGATAAGAACAGTCAGCAGCTTTACTGTAAGAGTCAGGAGCTGGAACCAGCACACGGGCTGTGTGAAAGGTCAAAACACAAACTCCAACGTGTGTTCGGGCCACTGAGCTGAGCTCTAAGTGAAGTAATACACAAGGGGGAAATGAAACCAATGAAAGGTGGAGGAGGTCACAGAGGACGTTTGGTTTTGATGAAGTTGTTGCCGTTGGCTTTAAAAGTCTCCAAATGGAAGCTTTGTCACGGGAATACGAGGAAAACGAGTCGACCGTGCTCAGATGGGGGACTAACATCCTACTGTTCTCTGTGCCAAGGGTACTTTACCAAGGAAACGCCTCAAACAATGGAAACGTGTCTAGCGACCGCTTCAGGTCAGGGCTCAGAGCAGAGTGTCAGACTACACCATGTCAGCTGACACAAGCTACTCATCAGCTGCGTAACAAACATTTTGTCATTTTGTACAAAAGATCACCAAACCCTGATTATTTCACAGGTTCTTCTGACTAATGAAGTTTGCTTTGAGGTGTTTTTGAGCCGAGAACAGCGCTGGCTTGCAATCAAAAGCAGCTGATTCAACATATTTGAAATCAAAACACACCCAGAAACATGCTGAACATCATCCGTGTTGTGACTTGTAGACTTTTGGGAAGCTTGAACTTCATGTGTAGAAAAGCAGGAACTTCAGATCGATCCCACAAAGGTAGATTTAACAGAAAAAGAAGGTTTTTAAATATGAAGTAAACATTTGTTAATAACTAAAACATGAAACCCTGCCCTACCTCTTTTCTTTAAAAACAATGTTTGGGTCTCAGATTCAAAATCACCTGCCTAGAGTAATCCTAGAATAAATTTCAGACTGGTAACCGCCCCGCTGACAGCACAGAAACAGCCTTACACAAGATTTACAACAACCTCCTCTTCATGGCAGCTTTGAAATTCTCCCTATACCATTCTACCTCCCATATTAGCATCATTACTCACACAACCACTGATTCAAATCTTATTTGGTCACGCTCAGCAAATTCAGATCAAAGTATCAAAATGCAAGTAATTTCCAGCCTGTAAGGTGTACCACAGGGAAATGTCATTGGGACACTTTCGTTTATTTGCTACTCTGTGGTGTAAAGAATGAGTCGTTTACATCTTATTTATGAACCATAACATGTGAGATTCCATAGATATG